TAAATATAAATTAAAATACAAAACATTTGGCTATGTTACTTACTATGTGCACTTGGGGGAGAAATGCTTTTGGAGTTGAAAAGACTTGTAAAATCGCGGTAAAATATGTAAAATAACATTCGGAAGTGTTTCACTATAAGGAGTTTAAGATGTGAATTTCTTACTTTGTCCCTTCAATATAAAAGGCTTTTCTTATGTTTTTCATAAGCAAGGTTGAGACAAATACCTAACGTCAATAACCAAACGTGTCACTTCGCTCATAACTGAGGGGTGAAATATAAATGCAATCATAACTGAAGAATTGAGTTGTCATTACGGAGACCAAAGATGTAATTTTCCCTAAATTATATTAATTATTGAGTATGAATTCAATTTATATAGTAAAGACGCATGAATTTTTATAGTTGTTCATCAATTCGAAAACCACTTCCTACTCCACCACTCTCCTAATTTCAAGGAGGTTCCACTAAGTATTGTTACAAATACAAAGTGATTGAAGCCTCAGATCACACGAGAGCGTTGCTAGGATGATCTCATAACTTCTTCCGATGAAGAGTGTTGCTATTTGTTGAGTGTTCGACTTAGAAATCAAACTAATTTCTTTAAGTTTAGAAGTCGATCTGGATTTTGAACGCTTAGATCACACGAGAGCTTTTCACTTTAGTATATTAATCAGCACGCACACACACTTCTTCTAAGCTTGGGGTCCTCCTTCCATAGATGAAGAGGGATGAGCGTCAACTTGAAATTTGAAATTGTCCGATCTATTTTCATCCAATAAGTGGTACCCGTCTAAAAACTGCCACAATCCCCTAAAATTCGATGGCATATCTCTGAACTTCTATAGCTTTGAACATGTAAGCTCTCTAAAGTCTGCTTCTGATTTGCTTATTACAGATTTCTTCTGCATAGACTTATAGGTGTTAGACAAGTTGCATCATTACAACGGTTCTTTTTGTTCTTCCTCATATGAACTCCTTCCGTGGTTGATCTTCAATAAAAGTTCTTCAATAGAGCTCCTATGAGCTTGGAAGAACCACATTGAATGCATTTTATCTTCCATTAAGATCGTGTTTAAACTTCTTTCCTTCCGATCCCATTCCTTCCAAACGTCTTCTTCCAAAACCTTTCCTTCTGGATGTCTTCTTTCGAAACCTTTCCTTCTGGACGTCTTCTTCCGGACGCTTCCTTCCGAATGTCTTTCTTCCAGTTAGTTGGATCACGAAGCCTTATCTAAATTTACAATGAATCATTAGGGGCAAAGTGCTTCTACAATATTCTTTACATCATCAAATCTATTACAAATCTTCCTAACAGCTACATACTCGTTTATTACTTACAAATAGCGACTTTCTATATGATAATTGCATGTTTGTGATATGACATTTTACCATATCAAGGAACGACTGTATGTGAATGACAATTTTAAGGATTCTTAAGATTTTCCTAAATTATATTATGTATAAATTATTTTGTTAAAACAATAAAATAAATTATTTTTTTAAAACAATAAAAGATAAATAGAGTGAATGGGATTCCTTTGACAACTAAGTTTTGAAGCAAAGCAAAAGAAGTGACTGGATGTTGGAAGGTATGGATTGAATCTTTTGTACATATATAAAGATTAAATCTGACCTTTCAAAATGAAGACTAAGATCTGACTAATGGACTGATTATGCAACTCGCGATTTATATTTGCAGAGATTCTAGGGGCAGGATAGGGTCCTGTGGGTTTAGGATTAGTTTGACGTTGAGATCACCTAGGTGTTTTTTTTAAAAGGTTGAAAGAAGCGGAATGTAAAAGTAGATAGTGAAGTACGTGCACCGAGCTCTTTTTTTTTTTAGTACTATTATTAACTCTGTTACAATGCAGTATCTGTTCATAACTACTTTTTCAATCTTTTTTTTTTAGGAACTAATGTGGTTGTATTTATAGATAACTTGAAACTGAGTCTGGTGGGATAGTATCCCAGTACATAGGTAAAACGTAATTAAAAGCATCCAAAGCTAATATATGTGCTAGATAATTCTGCGTTCTAGGAATAAAATTAATTAAACAATAATTAAGCATCTCCATATATGCTCTGCAAGCATCAAGAGCATAGCCAAGATAAGATCGAGATCGAGTCTTAGTAGAGGACAGATGTGCCTGGAGTGTATGACAGTCCGTAAATATTTCGATCGAAGATTCTCCACGTGTTCTGAGCCATGACAACACTTCTTTGCATGCCATAGTTTTGGCCATAAGTGACGAGAAGCAGTTGTGTAAGGGCGCACTGTAAGCCGCTATATATTCTCCATGATCGTCGAACAAGATTGCAGCTACTGTGGCTGATCCTGGTTGTTGCCTGTATCCAGCATCGACAAAGCAATGCTTGGGCCGTGTGTTACTGTTTCGACAGTATGGGCGGGCAGTGCCTGTACGAAATGCGGCTGGTGTGGGTCGACGATATGTGGACTGGCCGGCGCTGGCGTGGTGGGGCGATGTACTTGCTGCCACGCCTGCATGGTTGTTATGGCCATCGCGAGGATTTTCTTGGGCATGGGTAAGCATGAGTTCCAGACTGCTTCGTTCCGAGCTCTCTAAATATTGTATAAAATTGCAGCTGCAAATAATACCACATTAGTGTCTAGAACATTTAAGATCGTTCTAAACCATTCTTGAAAAATATTCGCCACAAAATGGGAAAGTGGAAGGTTGGATTGATCCCATATGGTTCTTGCATAATCACACAAAACCAATGAGTGCATAACATTTTCATCCATTAGTCCACACATGGTACATATCGAGCTAACATCTACCCTCTTTATAATTAAATTGGTGGTGGTGGGGGGATATCACTTATTGCTCTCCATAAGAAGGTTTTCCATTTTGGGGGATTTTTAGCTTCCATAGGGTGTTCCACTTATCAAACCCATGGTTATCCTCATAAGTGCCTACAATACGGCTGTACCCATTCTTGACAGTATAGCATCCATTTGGGTCCCCATACCAATACCATATATCCTCATACTCTAGTGATACCGGGATCCTTAATATTTTAGGTATATCATCTGGTTGGAAAATATGATAAAATATCAGGATCCCATGTACCAGTCGATTGATCAATTAAGCCCCCAACTTTTGCTCCTACTAATTGTGGTTGCATTTTTGTCTGAATCATGGGTTCCAATTCATCATGTAGCCAGGGGTGCTCCCATATTAATGTACTATTTCCATTCCCAATTCGCCGTCTCACTCCACTAGTTATTAAACCTTTGGCAGCCATAATACTACGCCAGCAATAACTAGGATTGTTCCCAATATCCGCTTCAGAGAAAGTTTGTTTAGGGTAATACCATGCCTTGTATACCCGAGAAACCAGCGAGCCTGTATTAGTAAGCAATCGCCATGCCTGCTTACCCAAATTGCCAAATTAAAAGCTTTTAGATCCTTGAAACCCAGGCCTCCATACTTCTTGGGGATACATAATTTATCACATGCTTTCCAATGAATACCCGGTCGGTTCCAGATCCCCACCAATAGCGATTCATTGTCCTTTCAATGGTTGTACAGACAGATGCAGGCAACAAAAAGACACTCATAGAAAAGGTAGGCATAGCTTGAGCCACACTTTTTAATAATACTTCCTTACAAGCATGGGTTAGTAGCTTTTTGTTCCACGAACCAATTCTCTGTCTAATTTTGTCCTCAATATAAGCAAAAGCTGCCTTTTTATTTCTCCCCACAAAAGCAGGTAAACCCAGATACTTCCCAAAATTTGGGGCCTGCACGACTCCCAAAATTTGTGCCACCATATCCCTGCACTTCGCATTCGTATTCCTGCTATAGCAAATACTAGATTTGTGGTAGTTAACCATTTGTCCAGATAAACTCTCATAAATAGCCAAGCAATTCTTTACCTCAGTGGCTTCCTGCGAGTTTGCCTTGAAAAACAACAGGCTATCATCAGCAAAAAATAAATGGGATATTGACGGTGCTCCACGTGCAACCCTGCAGCCATGAATTAGACCACTATTCTGCGCATGTTGTAGTAACAGTGACAGCCCTTCCGCACAGATAATAAATAGATATGGCGATAGTGGATCTCCCTGTCTAAGACCACGAGTGGGCATTACCGGTTCACTATTAGAACCATTCACCAAGAAAGTATAGGACACAGTCGTTACGTATAACATAATAAGTTCCACCCATCTCTCATCAAAACCCAAAGCCTTAAGCATCCATTCCAAAAAGGGCCATTCCATTCGGTCATATGATTTTGCCATATCTAACTTGAGAGCTCCCCAACCAACAACCCAACACTGCTTTCTATTTAGATAATGTCCTACCTCTACGGCAATTAAAATATTATCTGTAATGAGCCTGTCTGGTATAAAGGCACTCTGTGAATCAGATATAATATTTTCCATCAAGGGCTTCATCCTCTGTGTAATCATTTTAGCCATCACTCTATAGATTACATTACTTAGGGCTATGGGTCTCAGATCTGTAACCCGTTCAGGTGTACATTTTTTCGGAATTAACACCACATTCGTTTCATTCAAAGCAGTAGGAAAAGTGCGCATATTTAGTCAATCAATAATAAAGCTCGACAGGTCCCCACCTACCACATCCCAAAAATGCTGATAAAAGCCCGGATTCATTCCATCCGGTCCCGGTGCTTTATCCGGAAACATAGCAAACAAAGCCTTTTTAACCTCCTCGACCCCAAAGGGCTGTAGGAGTGCTTCATTATGTGCTTGTGTGACTTTGGGTATTACTTTCTCAAATAAATCAGCCCCATCAGGAGGACTACTAAAACAAAAGATATTGGCAAAGGAATCCAGGATAACCTTCTTCATAATCTCACCCTCCACCCAGTCCCCATCATCATTCATAATTCTAGATAAAGAGTTTTTTCTTTTAGGTGAGAGGCATACCTGTGGTAGTATTTTGTATTCGCATCAGCACCCTTGAGCCAGTGCTGTTTAGCTCTCTGTTTCCAGTATGCATCCTCCTAGGCCTCAATTCGACTCAACTCTTCTTCCAGGCGCCGGAACTCAGACAATGAGTCCAGATCCGTACACCCTTTCAGATATAACTGTTCTTTACGAAGCTGCTCAATCCGCTCACCGAATTTATGATATCGGTCTCCACCCCATCGAGATAGTTGGCTGCCACAGTGCACAATACACTCCTGCAGGCCGCCACCCCTCCCTTCGCCCCATGCCTCTTCTACCACAGCTCTACACCCTTCATCATAAGTCCATGTCATCTCAAAACGGAACCTTCTGCGTGGTCTGGCCCTCCCCATAGGGTCGTGTATGCCCATAAAGAGAGCAGAATGATCAGACTTCCTTGTTAGAATATTGGTCACTCGTACCATGGTATTAATATCACACCAGGTACTTGTGGTTAACACCTTATCCAGCTTCTCTTCAATCCACCGAGACGTGCCCTTCCCCTTCTCCCAGGTAAACTGATATCCATCCATTGGCAACTGAGCTAAGCCACAGTATTCAATAGTCTCCCCAAAGCCCCGTAAGAGCCTATTTGGATGGGGGTTACCACCTCTCTTCTCATACTGAAATAAGAGCTCATTGAAATCCCCAATCATAACCTAGGGCAAATCAGATCGGGGTGCTAGCGATTTAATAAGACCCCATGCTTCGTTGCGCCTATGTCGCTCTGGAAAACCATAGTAACACGTCATCCTCCATTTCGGTAAACCTGGCATGCTAATTTCCATATCGACATGATTTCTCGAATAACACATAAGCCGTGTTGTGTTATTCCTCCTCCAGAACAAAGCTAGTCCACCACCCAAACCATCCGAATCAACATAAAACAATCCGTCAAAACCAATAGTAACACGAATACGTTCTGCATGAACACGTCCTACCTTAGTCTCTATAAGATAAACAAAATCAAGCTTCTTTCTGGACACCATGTCCACCACTTCACGAACTGTACGTGGATTGCCCAAGTCACGACAGTTCCAACTTAGGATACTCATTGGGCTGGGCGGGTCTGGGAACCAAGACCCGCCATATGCAAGTTTTTGGACACGTCATTATTTGCTGCCTCTTCATTCCCCGGCAAAACCCTAGGCTCCGTATCCTCCACTGCCGCACGGCGGCATTTCGAAGAAGCCGCAACCCCCTCCTCCGATTAAGCACATGGTTGTGCCATATCAACATCATCCTCATTACCTGGCAGATTCACCCCATTCGCACGCCCAGGAGCTGCCGCCGGCCTCTCACGTACAAGGCAGCGGGTCGGCAGAGTCGCCGGCACTCCAATCGGCGGTAGGAGCTATGAAGCGCCGACCTGTCTCGGCCCCTTGGCTTGTCCTTCTCGCATCCAGGCCCCGTATGGATAAAACTCAGGCTTGATTCCAGATACCCGAGCCTTCACATAAAATTTGTCCAGATGCCCCAACATACCACAACATAAGCAGAAATTATGCAAACGTTCATACTTTAAATTAACCCATCCCCATGACTTATCCCTTCGAATCAACTTCATTCTTCGTTTAAGTGGCTTGTCTACCGGTACTGACACACGGACCCGATAGAAAATTTTTATCGGTCCACCCACATTGCGTTCATCGCACCGAATAAACTTCCCTACAAAATTTCCGACCTGCTCCAGAACCACATTAGACCTGTATCCCATAGGCAGGTCAACCTGTATTCACATATCAATGGTGTCTAGCTTAACTTCCCCCGGAAGAAGACCATCAGAAACTTGTTGACAGACAAGGGTGTGATTTTCAAACGACCACGGCCCCTCCTCCAACACCCGTACCATATCTGTTTCATGATAGAAGGCAAAAAAGAAACAGATTTGAGTGTAGTTCCGTTACCCGCATCCCTATAACCGGCTGCCATACAGACGCCATAACTTGCCGCATGTACTCAACTTTAATCATCTTGGCCGTTAAGAAACGCCCCACCACTGAATAGACTGGTAAGTGGTCCCTTCCTGCGGTTGGAAAGCTCCGTCTGCCTCGACCCCTATCTCCTCATCCTCAAGAACCATGTCCGCCCAACGGTCGGACAAGCCCTCTATACTGCCCTCATGCTGCTGTACCACCGGAGACGCCATGCTATAAGTCGACATCAAAATTCGCTGCACGCTGGAGTCGGAAGATCACTGTGAAAAGAAACAAAACCCTAGAGACGGGAGAAGCGCCGAAACCCTAGAAAAGGGAGAGAATGTGCATATAGCAAAATAACTACTTTTTCAATCTACTAAAACACAAAGAGTCAATACCGCTAATATGAGAGAACAACTTAGGCTCTGTTTGGCAAACCTAGTTGAAAAGCTATAAGCTAGGAGCTGAAAGCTGAAAATGAGCTGAAAGCTGAAAAGCTATAAGCTCGGAGTTGAAAATTGAAAAGCTGTTAAGCTAGTTGTTATGATTGAAAGTGTTTGGTAAAATTAGCTTTTTTATAAGCTGATAAATGTAAAAATACTAAAAAGGACATCTTCATAAAATTTAAATTAGTTCATTTACATATTATAATTTAATATTTTGTCTTTAAAAAAAATTAACATTTTGAAATAAAACTATTAGCATAATCATGGTCTAGCATCTCATAATGAAGTAGCAATATTGTTGCAAATCTAATAATAATAATAATAATAATAATAATAATAATAATAATAATAATAATAATAATAATAATAATAATAATAATATTTGCGGTGAAAGTTGCTGATAAAGGAGAAGAGAAAAGGGTTTTAATTGGGAAGGATAAATTATGTCATTTCTTTAAAATAATAAGGATAAAGATGGAAACAAAGTTAGGAAGCTATGAGCTTATTTTGAAATGCTACCTAAGGTAGCGTTCCAATATAAGCTCTTATTTTAAGCTAGGAGCTTATTTTGAGAACATTACCAAACAGAGCTTATAGCTTATAAGTAGCTTAAAATAAGCTATAAGCTCCTAAATAAGCTCTGCCAAACAGAGCCTTAGTACCACTAGACCAAAAGGTTATTGGCACGTGAACCGAAGTTTGATTATGCATGCATGCCTCATAAATTATGATTAATAATTACAGGCTAAGTCATGCTTGCAGAAACTGAACTGCTGAAATGTAGTCAACATAATTGAGTATACTTAACATTTAATGATGATTAAAGCGACAAAAGATTCCCAATTTATAGCGCTGCTCCTCCATTTGAACCCCATAATATCCACCTAATAATTTATATATGCTCACTTAATTAATTACCCAAATTTCTTAGTAGACATCATCGGTTAAATCATTTTAGGGATAATATGAGTTGAACCATTTAGATTTAGGGTGATAACAATTCACCCATTCTTTTTATACATTTACACCTATGTTGCATGAAAACAAGAAATGAGAAACTGGAAAATACCAATGCTAAAAGCAGTAGGAAACGAAATGTGAGGAAAATTCATAAATATTAAAAATATATTGGGGTATATTTGTAAATATATATTACCAAACACTTTTCTACCGTCAAATAATGTTATCTCGGGGGGGGGGGGGGGGGGGGGGGGGGGGCGATAAAGTAGGGACGGATCCATAAATTTTTTCCAGTGAAGGCGAAACGTTAAAACAAAGGAAAAAAAAAATCTAAGAAATATAGGTATAAATATTGTTGGATATGAGCAAAAAATAAAACTCATCGAAATTTTATAAAAAATATTCATAACAAAATATGAAACATAATTAATTTGATAAAATAATTTGAATAAAAAAACGCATTATAAATTACACATCTCATCATTAAAAAAAAAAAAAAAAAAAAAACTGTGAAAATGTGTTGATACCAAAATTTAAACCCATGAGCTTCATTATAACCAAACACATGCTTTACCAACTAATCTAACTCATTTCTTATTAACTTTTATCTATTTTTTTATACTAATACTAAAACTTGTACTATATATATACATATATACATACAAAGGTTATATATGGGGCGGGGGTGGGGTGAGAGGGGCAGCTGTCCCCCTTTGGCTCCGTCCTTGAAATCTATTAACTCAATCCGCTAACAACTATTTACTGAACACCCCTATATCTATTCCAAAAAATACTGTTTTATTTTTACTTACTCCATAAACGAAATGCATTATTTTACTTGCATTTAACTTTTTCCCTTATTAGCATGATGCCAATAATGGGTATAAGTATATATATATATATATATATATATATATATATATATATATATATATATATTTTGAAGGCAACCATAATATGGTTATTTTATAGATATGCAGCAATAGAATCTGGAAGAACAATGTCCCAATACATCTAATACACAAGAGAATTCAAATGTTACAATCCTTGGTATGCGTATACATTTTGAGATTGCGATCAAATCACCCCTCCAATTATATTAGGTTGTGTAATTAAATTTCTAAATTATGAAAAGCTGTAATTACAATCTTAAACATGCAAACAAAAAGTTAAAAAATAAAAACAATGCAATCAACAAGATTTTGCAAGTTAGCTTTAGGTAATTAATTAATTAACTACTTGCTAATTAGATTTTTATTTTTTCGTTGATTTTGGAAAGTTGACTAGGTTTTCACTTCTATGTTTAAAAGGATGTGTTGTATTATTTATTTATCAAATAATAATAATAATAATAATAATAATAATAATAATAATAATAATAATAATAATAAATAGGCCACTGAATTTTATACGAAAAGTCAATTAAGTCCTAAAACTTTTAAAAATTGTAATTAATTAAGTTCATTAACATATTATTTTCAAGCATCAAAACCCACAAACCGAATAGTGACATGTAATAACATGTCACTAGGGTTTCAGGCGACGTTCCAATTCAATGAGGTGTTTATGATGTGTTTCTAGAGAAGTCTACCTTTGAACGTGGAAAAGGCGACCAAATGGTCACCTTCCCCGGAAGAATTGGCAATTATTGGTCACCTTTTTCACCAGAAAAGGTGACTTGCTTGTCACCTTCTGCAAAGGTAAGTCGGTGACCGTCAGTCACCAAATTTAGTAACTGGAACATTTTCGGAGTCTCACCGAACTCTTACTAGTGACATGCTAATACAAGTCACTATCCGATTTGTAGGTTTTGATGTCGCTCAAAAATAACATGAGCTTAATTGTAACTTTTTAAAGTTTAGAGTCTAATTAATTTCTCACATAAAGTTTAAGGATCTATTTAACCATTTTCTATAATAATAATAATAAGCTTCTAGCATGGAGCACTCCTCTGTCTCTCAGGAGAATCCATGGGAGAGATGGAGAATACATCCATGGAAGATCAGATATAGAAGATAATAAGGCGTTGCAGCATTATTTGGAAGAAGGAGCATCATTCACTTCTGGAAATTAAGGAATTTTCGACCACTTGAAAGTGATCTTAAATTCAGTCGGAAGTCCTTGTCCCGACCACTTTTAGTATCTGAAAAAACCTTTGTCGCTATTTCCGACCATCAGACAAAGTGGTCAGAAATAGCATCCAATTTTGTAAAGTGGTCAAAAAAATCAGCTACTAGAAAGATTGGCGAAAATTCCCAACTCAATTTAAAAAATGTAAACTGTCGAAATTTTTTTCCGATCACCTTTACTTTGTTATTGATATTTCCGACC